GTCCATTATTATCTTGATACACACCCTCCATGTATTGATCATCTTCATTGTTACTGTATGTTTCTGATTTTGATTTATTCCTAATTTCCTTTTTCATTTCTTCTCGTATGGGGTAAATTATTTTAAAAATAAAAAGAGCAAATAAAATTAGCCAAATTTATAGATCAATCAAATTATTTTTAATAAATCATGTTTTTTTATTAGTTGGTGAAATATATAGAATTACCTTCATTAAAACACATGAATGTTTTTTTGGTTGAATTTGATATTAAAATCACTTAAACAGTTTTATAAAACATTCTTTGATTTTTGATAAAAAAATCTTTTACTTATCAAATAAATTGTTTAAATTAATTAAAGCTGTTTTATTGGTAAATATTTAAGTTTGTTTGAGAACCCATGGGAATAGACACAAATTTTAGAAAAAGAAAGATTATTGAATTAATACAAGCTTTACGGGAAAGTCCTACCTTTTGTAATGTTCCGTTATCCATTATTAAAGAAGCCGTTCTCTCTAGTGAACAGAATATATTTAATTCTAGTCTCAATAAGAATCAATATACTTCTGCTATATTAGAAAGGTTAAAAAGAATTAAAGAATGTGGAATTAGACAGGTAAAAGCTATAAAGGAAGAAAATTTAAATTGTAATTCTAAAATTGGACAGGAGAATAATTTTTCTGATCAATTTTTATTTACTCAGAATTTACCCTCTTCTGCAATGGCTAGACAACTCAATATCCATAATGTTTCAGATGGTTTTCATAAACCTTCTAATAAAACCCTTGTTGCCAACAAGACTGATTCTAACTCTAACAGTGATCTTATTAATTCTTCATATCAAGCTTCTAAGAACTTTATTAACATTCGTAAATTCTATGACAATGTAAATATAAGAAATGATAAAGATCTCACCACTAGTAAAATTTCAAAACAATTGAATAAAAAGGCTAAGGTTGTATTAGATGAATTCAATTCAATGGTTGATGCTGATAGTTCTCCTTCTGTCAATTTACAATCTTCTAAGTATTCTAAAGATTATTTAATTAATCAAGCACTTTTAATTAAAAATAAAAAATGTTCTGAAAGGAAGATCAATAATAATATTAAAAATGGAAACAATGAAAACATTGATATAAAAAGTGATTTTAAACGTGTTAATATAAGTGACTATAACGACTGGAGAGAAAATCTAGAGGAATGTTATGAAAATATTAGTGAATTTGTTGATGATGATGTTAAAAAGAAAATTAAAACACAAATTGAGAATATTGATAATCCTTTCATCTGTGAGTCTGAATTAAATGGGTTTATTG